TTTGATATACCCTGACCCTAAGGTTTTTAAATATTAATTCTAAACTTCCATCCCTCCAAGTAGTCTATATCTAACTATGACTTTGAACTCCTGATCCTCCCGTCCTCATCTCCGAAGGGCTAGGATTACAGGTGTGCACACACACACTCCACTCTGATTCCCGCTTTTCTAGAGATTTCCATTGTCTGTGTCAGTGTTGAACAGAGAGATGCCCAGCACTTCCTTAGTCCTGTGGGAGTCCTGTGGGAGGCAGCACCACTCAATGGGAACAGTGGCCTTTAGGCACATCACATTATCTCCATGGACTTTCTACTTTGTCTGTGAAAGAGGATTAAATGGATAAGTATTCAGCAGTCTGTGTTCAGAATACTTAACAACTTCTTGGTGCGTTTTCCTTGTGGAACAACTCTAATCTACATGGTTAGTCCGTCATGAACTATAAATAACTTCTCCATCTCACCATGCCTTTGCTGGTGCGTTGGGACTTGTGTAAAATGGCTAGGTGGTTTTGCTTTTCGAAGTTGGGATGAAAGATACAGAAGCCAGAAGAAGTAATAAAAGCATGGAAGGGGAAATTGGCTGAGAAGAAGAAAGGTAAAGTGTGGAATGTAAGAGTTAACTCCTAAAATAAATACAATGCCACCACCTTCTACAGGAGCCCTGGTTTATTTCCAGTAGACAGAGACACGAGCAAGAGATGGATAATGGTAGAGATTCACAAGGAGAATTTCATTTACCGTCTGACCACTAAGCCTCACAAATACTAGGATTACAGGCATGTGTCGCCCTGCTAGGCTAGTACATAGTATTTTACATATAGACTGTCTGGTATAGTCTGTTCCAATGCACAGGGAGCCAAACACTAGATGAACATAGGCGGCTGAGCCGTGCGGCAATGCGTCTTCGGTTATGGGGGAAGCTGGATTCTGGTCCACAAGTAACACCCAAGAGACAAGTGATCTGGTCCCTTTGAGTCTGCCTTTCTTCGCCTGTTAAATAGAGGTACCCTGGCAGTGAGATGATAATACCAATTTCACTCTTAAGAGCGCAGTGCCTAGAATAGCGGAAATGCTTGAAAACGGTTAAACCCCTTTGCTACCAATCATCACATGGGTTGCAGGAAGCGAAATTGTTAAATTTGTCCATCGAGGCCGAAATGGGTGAGCGGTGGAATAACGCCACCGTGGGGCCGATTACTACCTTAGTTTTGCTCTGGTCACTTGTGTTAGACTGGCATTTTCTCACCAAATTGCCTTCAGATTCTAAATGCTCATGGCAAGACCAAAAAGCAGCATCTGTTTTACGTCATAGGAAACTTGTCGGAGATAACCCGCCCCTGTAATTATGCATGTGATCCCAGCTTTCTTATATAGGAACAATGATGATGTCAGACACAGGATAAAGATGTCATCCGCCTTTAAAACTATTTTTCCCAGCTAGGTCTCAATAAAGAACGCGGGATGCTATTTTACAATGTGGTTGGCACATTCGCTTAACTAGTAACGAGTAACTGGATCTTTGTCTTATACATGAGGGAAACCAAGAGAGTTTAGCTTAATTCCAAATTCTGCTAGTGCTCGGTCCATTGCTGATCCACTGACACCCAGGATTATTGCTTTAAAAGTGTGAGATACTTTTCACAGCCTATGGAAATTAGCCAGGTTGGTGAAGCACAATCAAGTGTCCAACCCGAGGTGACTGAACTGAGTCCTATCACAAAACCAAACCTCTCTGTCGAAACTCGAATAGCCACTTCTTCTAAGAGTAGCCTCAGCCGGGCGGTGGTGGCGCACGCCTTTAATCCCAGCACTCAGGAGGCAGAGGCAGGTGGATCTCTGTGAATTTGAGGCCAGCCTGGTCTACAGAGCGAGATCCAGGACAGGCTCCAAAGCTACACAGAGAAACCCTGTCTCGAAAAACAGAGAGAGAGAGAGAGAGAGAGAGAGAGAGAGAGAGAGAGAGAGA